CCCCGCCGGGGGCCCCGGCGCCCCGCGGGACCCCCGAGACCCCCGGGGGGGTCCCTGCCCTGGCCGGGACCCCCGGCCCGGCTGCCCCCTCCAGGGGAGGGGACCCGCGGGGACCCTGTGCCCCCCCCGGGCCCCCCTGCGGGACCCCCACGGGGGCGTTGGGGGCTCAGGACCCCCACCGGGGGGGTTTGGGGGGGCTCAGGACCCCCACCAGGGGGTTTGGGGGCTCAGGACCCTCATCTGGGGGGCTCAGGACCCCCACCAGGGGGTTTGGGGGCTCAGGACCCTCATCTGGGGGAGTTTGGGGGCTCAGGACCCCCATCTGGGGGGCTCAGGACCCCCATTCAGGGGGATTTGGGGGTTCAGGACCCCCATTTCCCCCCCACCCTGGGATTCGAGGGTGACCCCAGGGGTCTGTCCCGTGTTCCCAGAGCCCCCCCGCCACAACAGGAGACCCCCGGCACGGGGGGTGCAGAGGGGGGTCACCACCTCCTTCCTGGGACAGAGGGGGGGTCCCCAAGTCCCTCGGGGGGTCCCCACGACCCTCGAGGGGGAGAAAGGGGGTCTCAATGTCCCTCGGGGGGGGGCACAGGGGGGGTCCCCACGTACCTTGGGGAGCAGAGGGGGGGTCCCCATATGTCTCAGGGGGTCCCCACGATGCTCAGAGGGGTCCCCAAGTCCCTCGGGGGGNGGGCCCCCCCCCTTTATTCCACATCCCCCCTTTAACCCATCGCTCCCCGTGCCGGGGTGCTGAGGGCACGGTGGGGAGACCCCCGGGACTGGCGGCGCTGGGGGGTCCCGGGGGTCCCTGGGGGGGTCCCTCAGGAGCAGGAGGGCTGCAGCTGCCCCTTGTAGACGTACTCGAGGGCGGTGGCGATGGTCCTCATGTCCAGCTCGATGCTCCTGGCCCAGTTCTCCACGTCCCCGATCTCCTGAGGGCGTTGGGGAGGGGGCTTTTGGGGAGGGGGCTCACCCCGGGGGGGTGCGCCACCCATCCCATTCCACGGGGACCCTCTGGGTGCTCCCTGGGACCCCTGGGTGCTCCTCAAGACCACCCAAGACCCCCTGCGTGTTCCCCAGGACCCCCTGGGTGCTGCCCAAGACCACTGAGATGTTCTCCAAGACCCCCAAGATGTTCCCCAAGACCCCCAAAATGTTCCCCAAGACCCCCTGGCTGCCCCTCAGGATCCCCCAAGACCCCCTGGCTACCCCTCAGGACCCCCTGGGTGCTGTCCAAGACCCCCAAAATGTTCCCCAGGACCCCCTGGTGCTGCCCAAGACCCCCGAGATGTTCCCCAAGACCCCCTGGCTGTTCCCCAGGACACCCAAGATGTTCCCCGAGACCCCCAAGATGTTCCCCAAGACCCCTGAGATGTTCCCCAAGACCCCCCAGGTGCTGCCCAAGACCCCCGAGATGTTCCCCAAGACCCCCAAGATGTTCCCCAAGACCCCCTGGCTACCCCTCAGGACCCTCTGGGTGCTGTCCAAGACCCCCAAGATGTTCCCCAGGACCCCCTGGGTGTTCCCCAAGACCCCCAACATATTCCCCAAGACCCCCTGGGTGTTCCCTGGGACCCCCCGGGTACTGCCCAAGACCGCCTGGGTGCCCCTCAAGCCCCCCTGGGTGGTCCAAGACCCCCTAAGAGCTGCCCAGGACCCCCTGGGTGCTGCTCAAACCCCCTGGGACCCCCTGGGTGCTCCCCAACCACTCCAGCACAATGCCAGGGTCTGGGGGCTTCATCCCCCCCTCCGTTCATGGGTCTGGGGGCTTCATTTGCCCATTTCCCATGGGCCTGGGGGCCACATCCTCCCCTATATGGGTCTGGGGGCTTTGTCCCCCTTCTCCTCTTGGTCTGGGACGCACTCAGGGGTGAGCCCCCCGCTCTGGGCGGGGTTTGGGGGTGTATTTTTGGGACGGTTTTGGGATGGTTTTTGGGGTGTATTTTGGGGTGATTCTGGGCTGTGTTTTGGGGTGGTTTTTGGGGGTATGTTTTGGGGTGATTTTGGGCTGTGTTTTGGGGTGATTTTGGGCTGTGTCTGGGCTGTGTTTTAGGGTGATTTTGGGCTGTATTTTGGGGGTGTCCCCACCTTGAGGGCCTGGTTGAAGCTCTCCACCATGGCGATCCCCTGGCTGCTCTGGGCTGGGATTGGGGCTGTGTTTTGGGGTGGTTTTTGGGAGTATGTTTTGGGGTGATTTTGGGCTGTGTTTTGGGGTGATTTTGGCTGTATGTTTTTGGGGGTATGTTTTGGGTGGTTCTAGGCTGTGTCTGGGCTGTGTTTTAGGGTAATTTTGGGGTGTATTTTAGGGGGGTTTCCCCACCTTGAGGGCCTGGTTGAAGCTCTCCACCATGGCGATCCACTGGCCGGTCTGGGCTGGGTTTGGGGCTGTGTTTTGGGGTGATTTTGGGGTGTGTTTTAGGGTGATTTTGGGCTGTGTTTTGGGCTGTGTTTTGGGCTGGTTTTGGGCTGTATTTTGGGGTGGTTTTGGGCAGTGTTTTGGGGTGATTTTGGGCTGTGTTCCCCACCTTGAGGGCCTGGATGAAGCTCTCCACCATGGCGATCCACTGCCCGGTCTGGGCTGGGATTGGGGCTGGGTTTTGGGGTGGTTTTGGGGGGTATGTTTTGGGTGGTTCTAGGCTGTGTTTGGGCTGTGTTTTAGGGTGGTTTTGGGCTGTATTTTGGGGGTGTTCCCCACCTTGAGGGCCTGGTTGAAGCTCTCCACCATGGCGATCCACTGGCCGGTCTGGCGCGCGAACTGCGCCGCCTGCACCTGCAGCGTCTTCACCTCCTGGTCCAGCTTGCGCTGGTTCACGTAGGCCTGGGCCACCCTGGGGGGGACACGGGGGTCTCAGGGGGTCACACGGGGCTGCGGTCCCCACGGGAGACCCCAAAAAAGGGAGGAAAGGTGCGGGGAGGGGGTTTGGGGGAGGAAAACGGAGAGGGAAGGGGCTGGGGGGGAATCTGGGGGTCTTTGGGGAGGGGGATTTGTGGGGCTGGGGTCTGTAGGGCTGAGGGGAGGTGTCTGGGGGTCTCTCAAAGGGGGATCTGTGGGGTTCTGTGGCCTTGGGGGTCTCGGGGCTGGGAGGTTTGAGGGGTCTGGGGTCCCCAGGAGGGGTACAGGGTTTGGGGGAGATGGTCCCACAAGGAACTTGGGGTCCCCAGGAGGGGTTTTGGGTCTCCAGGAGGGGTCTGGGGTCCCCAGGATGGGTATGAGGTTTGGGTGGGGGGTGGTCCCAGAAGGAATTTGGGGTCTCCAGGAGGCGTTTGGGGTCTTTGGGAGGCTTTTGGGGATGGTCCCATAAGGAATAGGGGGTCTGGGGGTCCCCAGGAGGGTTTGGGCGGATGGTCCCATAAGGAAAGGGGGTCCCGGGGGTCCCCAGGGGGGATTTGGGGGGGTGGTCCCATAAGGAATGGGGGTCCCCAGGGGTGTTTCAGGGGGCTGTCCCGTGAGGCGCGGTCCCGGGCGCGGTCCCGGCGGGCTCACCCCACGTTCAGGTGATCCACCAAGGCCTCGGTGAGGCGCGTGGCGGCCGCGATGGCGTCCCTGCGGCGCCGCTCTGGGGGGACAGCGGGGACAGCGCCGTGAGGGCCGCCGCGACCCCCGCCCGGCCCGGCCCGCCGCCTGACGTCAGCGCGATCCCCGTGACGTCAGCGCGATCCCGCGTGACGTCACCGAGCGGAGCCGTGACCTCACGGGCCTCCCTCCCCCCCCCCGTCAGAGCCCTCAGGGCCCCTCAGGATTCCCGCCCTTTCCCCCCCCTTTTGACGGACAGCCGCGCCAGCCAATGGGGCGCGGCGCTGCGCCGCTCGGCGGCTGCGGCAGCCAATGGGAGGCGGCGGGCGGGGCTGGTTGCCATGGGGACGGGGGGCGGGGCTCACCCTGCAGCTCGCGCCGCTCGCTCTGCCGGGCCTGGTGCTCCTTCAGCAGCCGGGACAGCATGGCGGCCGCGGCACGTGACCGCGCGGCACGTGACCTGGGAGAGACACGTGACGGGGAGGGGCCATTGGGGATCGGGGAGGGGCCATGGCCCCCAGTCCCTCCCAGTTCCCTCCCAGCGCTCCCAGGGGGTCCCGGTTCCGGCCGCAGGAATTCGGGCGGGAACCGCGGCTGAAAATAACCCGGGAGGGGAAAATTAAATTAAAATAAAATACAATAAAATAAAATAAAATAATGAAATAACCCGGGAAAATAAAATAACCTGGGAAAAAAAAAAAAAACCAAAAAAACCCCCAAAAAAACACAACAAAAAAAACAGAAAAAGAACCCGGGAATGGGGAAAAATAAAATTTGAGATGCTCATCCTGAAATAAACCCCAAAAATATAATGAAATAACCCGGGAAAAAAAAATAACCTGGGAAAAAAAAAAAAAAAACCCAAAAAAACACAACAAAAAACCAGAAAAAGAACCCGGGAATGGGGAAAAATAAAATTTGAGATGCTCATCCTGAAATAAACCCCAAAAATAATCCCTGGAAATAAACCCCCAAAAATAAATCCTGACAATGAGTCCTGAAAATAAACCCCCCAAAATAAACCCCTGAAAACAAATTCCAAAAATAAACCCGTGAAAAGACACCCCAAAAAAAACTCCCCAAAAAAACCCCAAAAAAACCCCCCAGAAATAAATCCCAAAATTAAAATTAAAATTAAAATTAAAATTAAAATTAAAATTAAATAAAAATAAAAACCCCAAACCAAACCCCAAAATTAAAATTAATAGAAATAAAAGCCCCAAATAAACCCCTGAAATAAACCCCAAAAATAAAAATAAAATAAAATAAATATTTTTTAAAAATCCCAAAACAAACCCCAAAAATAAAACTGGGAAGAATTGGGATGGGGAGGGGGAAGGGGGGGTTTGGACCCCCCAAAAAGCCCCCAAAAAGTGAAGGGGGAGGGGCCGGGCTGCTTCCCACGGCCCCAAAAATCCCAAAAAATCCCCCAAAAATCCCAAAAATATCCCCAAAAATCCCTCGGGGGCTTTGAGAGAGGCTAAAAATAACCCGGGAGTTGGAAATGGGACGGAATGGACCAAAATGGAACAAAAATCCCATTTCCAGGCCAAAACCACTCCCTGGGCTTTGGGGTCACTGCCCAGGGCCTGGGAATTTGGGGTCACCGAGGATTTGGGGTCACTCCGCGGGTTTGGGGTCAGTCCCAGGAATTGGGATCAGTCCCTGAGTTTGGGGTCACTCCGCGGGTTTGGGGTCATTCCGTGGGTTTGGGGTCACTCTGGGATTTGGGGTCAGTCCCCAGTGCCAGGATCAGCCCCTGAATTTGGGGTCACTCCCTGGGTTTGGGGTCACTCTGGGGATTTGGGGTCACTCCGGAGATTTGGGGTCACTCTGGATTTGGAGTCAGTCCCTGATTTTGGGGTCACTCTCTGGGTTTGGGGTCCCTCCCTGGATTTGGGGTCAGTCCCGGGATTTAGGGTCACTCCCTGATTTTGGGGTCCCTCCCCAGGATTTGGGGTCACTCCCTGGATTTAGGGTCAGTCTGGGATTTGGGGTCAGTCCCCAGTGCCAGAATCAGTCCCTGATTTTGGGGTCACTCTGGGGTTTGGGGTCCCTTCCTGGCTTTGGGATCACTCTGGGGTTTGGGGTCCCTCCCCAGGATTTGGGGTCCCCCCGTGGGTTTGGGGTCCCTCCCTGGATTTGGGGTCCCTCCCTGGCTCTGGGGTCCCTGCCCGGCCCCGTGTCCCGCCCTGCCCTGCCCGGGCTCCCGGGGCTTTCCCGGTTCCGCGGGCGGGGCGGGGCGGAGCCGCCCCCGGGAGCTCCGGGGCTGCTCCCGCGGCACCGGCGGCACCGGCGGCGCGGGGATGGCGAGCGGGGGCTGCCGGGGACCACCGGGGCTGTGCCCGTGGCTACCGAGACTGCCCCGGGGGCTACCGTGGGTGTCCCCGTGGCTACCGGAGCTGTTCTTGTGGCTACCGGCGCTGTCCCTGTGGTTACCGGGGCTCTCCCCGTGGCTACCGGGGTGGGGGGATCCTATTGCCGGGATTTGGGGTGGGGGGATCCTATTGTCGGGGTTTGGGGGTCCGGGAGCGCCGGGAGCCGCGGGGCTGAGCGGGACCGGGACCCCCGGAGCGACCCCAGCGAGGGGACGGTGCCAAAGGGACAGGGACAGAGGGACAGAGGGACAGAGGGACAGGCACCGGCGGCGCGGGGATGGCGAGCGGGGGCTGCCGGGGACCACCGGGGCTGTGCCCGTGGCTACCGAGACTGCCCCGGGGGCTACCGTGGGTGTCCCCGTGGCTACCGGAGCTGTTCTTGTGGCTACCGGGGCTCTGCCGGTGGCTACTGGGGCTGTCCTTGTGGCTACCGGCGCTGTCCCTGTGGCTACCGGGGCTCTCCCCGTGGCTACCGGGGCTCTCCCCGTGGCTACCGGGGCTCTCCCCGTGGCCACCGGCGGCCGCCGCGTTCAACCTGGACGGGAGCAGCCCGGTGCTGAAGGACGGCGAGCGGGGCAGCCTCTTCGGGGCGGCCGTGGCGCTGCACCGGCAGCTGAGCCCCGAGCCCCGGGCGTGGTGAGCGGGGCCGGGGGCGAGGGGGACCAGAGGGACAGGGACAGGGACAGGGACAGTGCCAGGGACAGTGACAGTGACGGTGGCAGTGCCAGGCCGCCTGCGCGCCCGGGATTATTCAGCATTCGCGGGCAGCTCCCATCGCGCGTCCCCCCCTTCACCCCCGGTCCCCCCGTGCCCCGCCCGCTGTCGCCGCTGTCGCCGCGGTGTCGCCGCTGCCGCCCGCGCCGCGTTCCCGGCCCCGAGGGCGGCTTTGGCCGCCGGTGCCCGGTGCAGGTGTTGGCACGGCCGCGCTCGGGGCACCCCCGGGCCCCGCTGTCCCCGCTGTGCCCGGCCCGGGGCTGGCCCTGTCGCGCTGTCCCCTTGCCGTGCCCCGGCCCCGCTCCGTGGGGCGCCGGTGCCTCCGTGAGCCCCGTCCTTTTTTGGGCATGTTGCTGCGGGGTTATTTTGAGTGAATTCCAGGTTATTTTTACCTCCTCTGCCTCCCTGCCACCCCCGTGGGCTCCGCCGTGTCCCCAGGCCACTGTCACCCCGGGCCACTGTCACCCCGGGCACGGCGGCCACAGCACCCCGCGGGCACCGGGGGCACCGCGATGGCCCCACCGGGAGCGCCCCGAGCCCCTCCCGGGGGTCGCGGGGGGCCGGGGGCTGTCCGGGTGTCCCCTGCTGTCGCCTGCTGTCCCCTGCTGTCCCCGCAGTGCCGCGGGCTGGCACTGCGCCGGGCACGGGGGTGGCACAGCTGCACCGGGGGGGTGCCAGGGGGGGCTCTGTGACCCTCGGGGACCCCTCCCCGAATCCCTGACGGGGGTCTCTGCCCTGCCAGGCTGCTGGTGGGAGCCCCCCTGGCGCTGGCGCTGCCCGGCCAGGGCGCCAACCGCACCGGGGGTCTCTTCGCCTGCCCGCTGACCACCGAGCTCTCCGACTGCTGGCGGGTGCCCATCGATGAGGGAGGTGAGCGGGGGTCCCGGGGGGGGTCCCGGGGGGGGTCCAGGCCGGGCTGACCCCTCGCCGTGCCCGCAGCCGACCCGGAGCGCGAGAGCAAAGAGAACCAGTGGCTGGGGGTGAGCGTCAAGAGCCAAGGGCCGGGCGGCAAGGTCGTGGTGAGCACCGGGGGGACACGGGGACACCTCGGGGACACCTCAGGGACACCTCGGGGACACCTCGGGGACACCTCGGGGACCCCCGGGTGTCAGCGTGCAGGAGCACAAAACCAGCTGGTGTCGCCGCTGTCGCCGCGGTGTCGCCGCTGCCGCCCGCGCCGCGTTCCCGGCCCCGAGGGCGGCTTTGGCCGCCGGTGCCCGGTGCAGGTGTTGGCACGGCCGCGCTCGGGGCACCCCCGGGCCCCGCTGTCCCCGCTGTGCCCGGCCCGGGGCTGGCGCTGTCGCGCTGTCCCCTCGCCGTGCCCCGGCCCCGCTCCGTGGGGCGCCGGTGCCTCCGTGAGCCCCGTCCTTTTTTGGGCATGTTGCTGCGGGGTTATTTTGAGTGAATTCCAGGTTATTTTTACCTCCTCTGCCTCCCTGCCACCCCCGTGGGCTCCGCCGTGTCCCCAGGCCACTGTCACCCCGGGCCACTGTCACCCCGGGCACGGCGGCCACAGCACCCCGCGGGCACCGGGGGCACCGCGATGGCCCCACCGGGAGCGCCCCGAGCCCCTCCCGGGGGTCGCGGGGGGCCGGGGGCTGTCCGGGTGTCCCCTGCTGTCCCCTGCTGTCCCCTGCTGTCCCCGCAGTGCCGCGGGCTGGCACTGCGCCGGGCACGGGGGTGGCACAGCTGCACCGGGGGGGTGCCAGGGGGGGCTCTGTGACCCTCGGGGACCCCTCCCCGAATCCCTGACGGGGGTCTCTGCCCTGCCAGGCTGCTGGTGGGAGCCCCCCTGGCGCTGGCGCTGCCCGGCCAGGGCGCCAACCGCACCGGGGGTCTCTTCGCCTGCCCGCTGACCACCGAGCTCTCCGACTGCTGGCGGGTGCCCATCGATGAGGGAGGTGAGCGGGGGTCCCGGGGGGGGTCCCGGGGGGGGTCCAGGCCGGGCTGACCCCTCGCCGTGCCCGCAGCCGACCCGGAGCGCGAGAGCAAAGAGAACCAGTGGCTGGGGGTGAGCGTCAAGAGCCAAGGGCCGGGCGGCAAGGTCGTGGTGAGCACCGGGGGGACACGGGGACACCTCGGGGACACCTCAGGGACACCTCGGGGACACCTCGGGGACACCTCGGGGACCCCCGGGTGTCAGCGTGCAGGAGCACAAAACCACGGAAGGATTCCGTGCAGGTGGTTTTATGGAAGAGCTCTGGGTGTCAGGGGTGCAGGCCCAAATCTGACCCAGCCATGGGTTTGGGATGAACGATTTTTATATTCTATCCTCATGTCACTCACATATTAATTGTTAAACTGGCATCGTTCTGTGTATACATTGATCCCACCCAAGCGTGGGCTTCTCGTGATCCCCCCAAACCCTTGCACACAGTTTCTCACCATTCTTCCTACGATTAAACAACAATTAGATCTAAACAATCATCACGCCGAACAATTATATCATTGGTCGTATCCTGGTCACGCAGGTGCAATTTCACACGAGGCCTAACGTTTCCCAGGGCCTATTTTAAAATTTTACCAGGGCCTATTTTCCCATTCCCAGGCCCCATCTCCCCATTCCCCAGGGCCCATTTCCCATTCCCAGGCCCCATTTCCCCATTCCCAGGCCCCATTTTCCCATTCCCAGGCCCCATTTCCCCAGGCTCCATTTCCCCATTCCCAGGCCCCATTTTCCCATTCCCAGGCCCCATTTCCCCAGGCTCCATTTCCCCATTCCCCAGGCCCCATTTCCCATTCCCAGGCCCCATTTCCACATTTCCCCAGGCCCCATTTTCCCCATTCCCCAGGGCCTACTTAGGCCTATTTTCCCATTCCCCAGGCCCCAATTCCTAGGCCCCATTTCCCCATTTCCCGGCCCCATTTTCCCATTCCCCAGGCCCCATTTTCCCATTTCCCGGCCCCATTTCCCCATTTCCCCATCCCAGCCCATCTCTCCCCCTAACCCCCGCGCTCCCTGTGCGGGCTCCCCAGACGTGCGCGCACCGCTACGAGCTGCGGCACCGCGTGCGGCAGCCGCTGGAGACGCGCGACGCCATCGGGCGCTGCTTCGTGCTCAGCCAGGACCTGCGCCCGCGCGACGAGCTGGACGGCGGCGAGTGGAAGTTCTGCGAGGGCAGAGCCCCCGGGCACGAGCGCTTCGGCACCTGCCAGCAGGGCCTGGCGGCCGCCTTCAGCCCCGACCGCCGCTACGTGCTGCTGGGGGCCCCCGGCACCTACAACTGGAAGGGTGAGGGGCGCTGGGACCCCCCCCGGGGGGTTTGGGAGCCATAACTGGGAGGGTGAGGGGCGATAGGACCCCCCCCGGGGTGGTTTGGGGGGTGTGGGAGCTATAATGGGGAGGGTGAGGGGCGCTGGGACCCCCCCCAGGGGGTTTGGGAGCCATAACTGGGAGGGTGAGGGGTGGTGGAATCACTCCAGGAGGGTTTGGGAGACAGAATTGGGACCCCCACGGTGGGTTTGGGGGGTGTGACACCCATAACTGGGAGGGTGAGGGATGCTGGGACCCCTCCGGGGGGATTTGGGGGTGTGAGGGGTGGGGTACCCACAATTGGGAGGGAGGGGGAGTGGGGAGGTTCAGCTGTGCCCGGGTGATGCTGGGCACGAGGGTCCCTCGGTGTCCCCGGGGGTCCCCTGTGGTGTCCCCCTCTCACTCTGGGGAGGGGTCCCCACCCTTGGAGCGGCTCCATCCCCCCCTCCCCGTCCCCTGAGGGTCCCCTGAGTGTCCCCGCGGTGTCCCCACGTCCCTCGGGGAGGGGTCCCCACCCTTGGAGCGGCTCCATCCCCCCCTCCCCGTCCCCTGAGGGTCCCCTGAGTGTCCCCGCGGTGTCCCCACGTCCCTCGGGGAGGGGTCCCCACCCTTGGAGCGGCTCCATCCCCCCCTCCCCGTCCCCTGAGGGTCCCCTGAGTGTCCCCGCGGTGTCCCTTGGGGAGGGGTCACTGCCCTTGGAGCGGCTCCGCCCCCCATCCCCGGGGGTCGCTCCACGTGTTGCGGTGTCCCCTGAGTGTCCCCTGAGTGTCCCCCTAAGTGTCCCCGCGGTGTCCCTTGGGGAGGGGTCACTGCCCTTGGAGCGGCTCCGCCCCCCATCCCCGGGGGTCGCTCCACGTGTTGCGGTGTCCCCTGAGTGTCCCCTGAGTGTCCCCGCGGTGTCCCCCGAGTGTCCCCTGAGTGTCCCCTGAGTGTCCCCGCGGCGTCCCCCGAGTGTCCCCTGAGTGTCCCCGTGGGTGTCCCCGCGGTGTCCCCACTGTCCCCTCCATCCCCTGGGGTGGGGTCCCTGCCCTTGGAGCCACTCCGCCCCCCCTCCTCGTTCCCGGGTGTCCCTCTAAGTGTCCCCGGTGTCCCCTGGGCCCGCCCGCGCTGACCCCCGCCCCCCCCCAGGGCTGCTCTTTGTGACAAACATTGAGAGCGCGACCCCCGACCAGAGGGTCTTCAGGACCCCCGAGCCCGGAGAGAGGGTCCCGGGAGCGGCCGCGGACGTGGGGCACAATTCCTACCTGGGTTCGTGCGTGGTGCCACCCGTGTGCCACCCGTGTGCCACCCGTGTGCCACCCGTGTGCCGCCCTGTGCCGCCCTGTGCCCTGTGTGACCCCCCCCGTGCCGTGCCGCCCCCTCCCCTCGCCCCCCGCGGGCACACGCGTGTGGCGCTGTCCCCGCGGGGCTCCTGTCACGCGTGTCCCCCCTCTGGTGTCACCCTGGTCCTCGGGGGTGTCCCTGGGGTGTCACCTGCGCGCTCGTGTCCCCGTGGGGACACGGATCCCCCCGCCGTGTCCCCAGACGGGGCCCTGTCCCCACCCTGTCCCCTCCCTGTCCCCTCGCTGTCCCCTCCGTGTCACCCCGCACGCGCACACGCGTGGCCGCATCACGCCCCCCCGCCACCGCACGACCCCGCTCCTCTTGTGTCCCCACCCCGGTGTCACCGTCCCTGTGTCACCAGACCCTGTCCCTGTCCCTGTCCCTGTCCC